TTGTCCTCCCCGTGAGGCGACACCTGCGGGATTGGAGAGGGTTGTGTGGGGGTTGGAACCCCACTGCGAACCTTCTAAGAAGAAGGTGGGTTGTGGCCCTGAAGGGCAGCAGTCACTTTGGTGACAATCGCAGTTGGATTGCAGCGACGAATTTGCACCAACAAATTCGGTCTACAATCCTAGCGCGTTCTCTCACTAAACAAAGTACACTTTGTGTAGTTGGATTACGCACTGTATCGCTCTCGACAATTTGCGCAAGTGGGCACCAGTTGCGGGGCTCACTCTGGAGACTCGACGGCGAACCGGAGTCTCACAGAGGATCACACGACCAACGGTAGACTCAACAAGCAACAAACTGGAAAGCGACCTATCGTGTCTGTGACCCTGTCAGATGGCACACCGTGTGACTGAAAAAGTGACTTTGTGCGAAGTGACAGTGACACTATAGCAACAGCGGGCAGGCGGCCCCTGTTGCTATCGGAGTGGACCTTTCTGTGTGGACTGCGGGTGTGGCTTGCCCCCGCCTCCGCGCAGTAAACGGACTAGAGGTGAGTCGTATAGCAACAGCGAGGCGGTGCCCTGTTGCTATGCGAGACGGACTGTCGCGGCGCGGCCGGTGCCGCCTCGGTGGCGCCTCGGTGTCGCCGCGGGGCCGCTCGGTGCCCGCGGGGCCGCTCGGTGCCGCTCGGCGGGTCGGTGTGTCGCGGCGGACTGTGTGTGGTGGCGCCGGCGGGCGTGGCTCGTCCCCCGCCGGTGCGGGACCGCGGGACCCGGCGGAGCCGCGTGGGCACCGCCGGGTAAAAAAGGAACAAAAGATGATGGCCGAAAGTAAAAAACTAATACTCCAGGGAGGTACCACCCGGAAATCGGGTGGAGAATCCTCCACCGTCGCACCGGGCAAGCCGGGGGCGGTCAGCCCCATGTATCTGGAGGGGGCAACTGAGGCCAGAGTAGGGGGTGATGCTCGAAGTGGAAGAGAGGCAATGGTGGTTTTACTGAGGGACGTTGAGCTGGATAGGAGGACTAGGAGTGAGTGTGACGAGGCGGAGTACTACATGGAGCGCTCCGACTCGTCGCTCTCACTGTATTCTGAGGATGGCGCTGCAGGAGGAAGCGAGCCCAGCACATCTAGGGCTTCGCTGCGCAAAAGAAGATTAGTAGAGGTAGGCAAGACTCGGACTTGGAATTCGATAAGGAGGTGGAGGTCGTGGAAGTGGTCGCGACTCCAAGGCCTAAACAGAGGCCGTCACAGATTGACACATACTCGGATTTGGAACAGGCGAAGGCTGATTTGGCCGCCGCCACTAGACGGGATATGAAATGGAGGCAGCAGCCCCAACTAAGAAGGCGAGTGCTCCGAAACCGCCGGCGCGCCCTACCACCCGCAGACCCTCAGCTGAGGATGCGCAGCGCGCCGACGTGTTGGTATCGGATATACAGGAGAGTGCCCTCAAGGTATTAGATGCCGTGAGGAAGTCCGGCCACTTGAAGGGCACTGTCGTAAAGGAGATTAAGGACGCCATCGCTACCATCCGCGCGGCGTCCGAATCACTGGAGGGTCGGACCTCGACAACCGAGTGCGCAGCTTTGCGCCGGGAGAATTCTCGGTTGTCGCGTGACTTGGCGGACATGCGGGAGATGATGACCGCAATGAGGGAAGAGTCCGCCAAGTATTACGTGGAACTGAGGGACCTGAAAAGGAAGACCATGGGGTCTGCCGCCCAGAGCTCAGACGAACTGGCGATGCTCAAGGCGGAGAGGGCGGAGTGGGAGCGCGAGATTGCCGCAACCCGCAACTCCTTCCAGGAGTTACTGAAAAAGAGTTCGGAGGACCGCTTGGCGTTGTCCAAGGCGCAAAGCGAATTGGCGGCAGCCAAAGCCGCGCTGGCGAACCAGTCACAAAGTGCGGCCATGGACGTGACATCCGGCGCTCAAAGTGTTGGGTCGAGCGAAACGCCACCCATCACCGAGAGCGCCGAGGCAAGAATAGTCCGTCAAATCGGGGACATTTTTAATGCCCGGTTTGAGAGGATAGAGGAGCTCGTGGGCAGGCCACATCAACCGCCGCCTAGAAAGACAACGGCTGCACCCCGAACACCTGGGGCAGCCAAGAAAGGAGGAGCAAGTACGGCCCCTGTAGCCAGTACTAGCAGAGCAGGGGTGAGCGCCTCTCAGCCGCCGCCCTCGACACAGGAGCAGTGGACGACGGTCGTCCGTCGTGGGAATCGCGCCAGGGGGGCGAAGGGCAAGGAGTCGGCCCCAGCCACCCAGATGCCCACTGGAGGGACGGGACCATCCCAGAAGGAGGCCCAAAGTGAGGACGCCCGGAAGAAGGCACGCAGGAGGCAGTTCCGCCCACCGCGCTCCTCGGCGATAGTGTTAACACTAAAGCCGGGAGCTGCGGAGGCGGGAACTAGCTACAGCTCGGTGCTTCGAGAGGCCCAACAGAAGATCCAGTTGGGGGCCCTCGGAATCACCGAGCTGGGCTTCAGGCTGGGAGTAACGGGGTCCCGTATCCTCGAGGTGCCGGGCCCAGTGGAGGAGAGCGGCGGAAAGGCAGATGCCCTCGCCGCGAAACTTGCCGAGGTCCTACCGGCAGGAGTAGTCGGCGTAACCAGGCCAGTAAAGTGCGCGGAAATCCGCATACTGGACCTGGACGACGCTACAACCGTAGCTGACGTGGTGGCAGCCATAACGCGAGAGGGAGACTGCGCCGAGGCCTCCGTGAAAACGGGGGAGATCCGGCGCTCTCCCTCAGGGAGCGGTTCGGTTTGGGCCCGATGCCCGGTCGGGACTGTGAAGCGGCTGGTCGACGCCGGCCGTCTCAAAGTGGGGTGGACGATGGCGCGGGTGCGGTCCTTAGACCCCCGGCCGATGCGGTGCTACCGCTGCCTGCTCACGGGTCACGTGGGCCAGCGGTGCACCGCCAAGGAGGACCGCGGCGGAGTCTGTTTCCGCTGCGGTCAAGACGGCCATAAGGCCGCATCGTGCACCGCCCCTTCGCCGCACTGCCCATACTGTGCAGCGGCCAAGAAGAAGGCGGACCACAGGATGGGCAGCACCAAGGGGTGCCGTCCGCCCAAACAGGCGGCGAGAGTGGAGGCGATGGAGGCCGAGTCCGGCCCGTCACCTCCCACCACGGGCCTCGCGGCAGCCGATGCGGGGGCGTCGGCTGTCACCTAAGACGGAATGAGGCCAGGAGTTGGCGCGCGTGGTGTCCGCGCGCGCCACTCAGGAGTTGGGCTGAAGAGCCCGCGCTGCCGGGGTCTACGGTTGAATATCATCATGATCCCGTAACCCCGGCACCAAAGCGCTCGGAGGACACCAAGGGGTTTTAGCCGGTAGGAGTCCGGCAGTACCCCCACGCTTCCCCCGGGGCGTGCGGGTCTCCATGATGGATTTCCCCTTGTAAAAAAAAAAAAAAAAAAAAGGGTTGGGTTGGGTTGGATTGGATTGGATTGGATTGGATTGGATTGGATTGGATTGGATTGGATTGGATTGGATTGGATTGGATTGGATTGGATTGGATTGGATTGGATTGGATTGGATTGGATTGGATTGGATTGGAATGGATTGGATTGGATTGGATTGGATTGGATTGGATTGGATTGGATTGGATTGGATTGGATTGGATTGGATTGGATTGGATTGGTTTGGATTGGATTGGATTGGATTGGATTGGATTGGATTGGATTGGATTGGATTGGATTGGATTGGATTGGATTGGATTGGATTGGATTGGATTGGATTGGATTGGATTGGATTGGATTGGATTGGATTGGATTGGATTGGATTGGATTGGATTGGATTGGATTGGATTGGATTGGATTGGATTGGATTGGATTGGATTGGATTGGATTGGATTGGATTGGATTGGATTGGATTGGATTGGATTGGATTGGATTGGATTGGATTGGATTGGATTGGATTGGATTGGATTGGATTGGATTGGATTGGATTGGATTGGATTGGATTGGATTGGATTGGATTGGATTGGATTGGATTGGATTGGATTGGATTGGATTGGATTGGATTGGATTGGATTGGATTGGATTGGATTGGATTGGATTGGATTGGATTGGATTGGATTGGATTGGATTGGATTGGATTGGATTGGATTGGATTGGATTGGATTGGATTGGATTGGATTGGATTGGATTGGATTGGATTGGATTGGATTGGATTGGATTGGATTGGATTGGATTGGATTGGATTGGATTGGATTGGATTGGATTGGATTGGATTGGATTGGATTGGATTGGATTGGATTGGATTGGATTGGATTGGATTGGATTGGATTGGATTGGATTGGATTGGATTGGATTGGATTGGATTGGATTGGATTGGATACCTGGACATATTATATTATATCCGCAGGGGTGGAAAATAAAAAAACAAATTGTTATCACTGTTCAAAAGTGCCTAACTAAGTTTATTTGAATAAATGATTTTCTATTCTATTCTATTGAATATCCCAAACCATCGATGGGAGCCGATAGGACGGATGGGATTGGATGTGGATATTCGATAATATGTCCAGGTAATAATATTATTGGCAACTGTCTCATTGCCCCAATTTACGGGCAGAATTGAAAGAATTAATAAAATCGGTTTGGTATTTTTTGAGTTTACCAAATAAGAAACAATAGGCAACAAGATATCTACAATACATGCCAGAACTTGCAGCAACACTGCACTGTGTTGTATGGGTAACGCTATGTCCATTAGGCAATAGGCAAGAGATATCTTCCTTTCTTTTTCACATATCAAAGCTCAGAATGGGCACACATAGATTGACGAAATAAATTTATATTAAACCGAATCATGTCACTCTATGTACATTGACAATGTTCGAATAATAGTTTCGAATCGAAATGATATCCAATAAGTGCTTTATTGGATATCATTTCGATATAATGTCTAATTTTGGGACTAAATAGACATGCAAACAACATGTACTTGCTAACTCTGTCTGTATTCAATCTTTGATGAGCACTCACCAATTACTCCGATGAGCAATGAAGAGAACAGGTTGGCAGCAAGCGCTGCGCTGCCTCCGCGTCGTGCTCCGGCCTGCAGCACGGCGTCGCACGCGTGCAGCGCACGTGCAGTGCCGAGCACGCTGGCTGCGCCCAGCGCTGCCCCGCGCCATACGTCTGCTGCCAGCGCTGCGCCGCGCCCCGACACCGCCCACTCCGCCACCGAGCGCACCCACGACCACCTGTGACCACCACCATCACCATCATCATCACCACGACCACACAGTGCACGTGCCATGCCACAACCACCTGCATACGGCACTACGCAGCACCTTCCCGTCACGTCTAACAATTCCTGATCTACTAGTCCTCATGACAATACAGTTTGCATATTAATTGTAAAGATAATTATGGAATGAGAGGGGGAGAGGGCGGGGGGCATTGTTAATCGTACTTCTTGTTAGTCATGTAGACCTTCACGCGGTAGTCAACCATTGTAGTTAAATTCTAGTAAATTCGCCACCATGGGCAAACTGACCTGACTTTACGCTCATTCTGTTATCTGCTATACTCCACTGGTGCCCTGCCAGTGGCGCAAGCCCGTGTACCATTCCATTATCATCCCTTACAAAAAAAAATGGAACAACAACATTTTTTTTGCAAACCATCGTTCATCTAAATTTCTAAATAAACGAACAAGTGGCCCGTGGTAGCCCCAATGTTTGCCATTCCATATCATATCTCTATACTCTGTAATTTCACTACCTTATACCATCTATCAAATGAACAGTTTAAAAAACTTGGCAGATATAATAGTATTAAAATCAACGACGTCCACCAAACATTATAGCACTCACTTGTGACTCCTGGTGACGATGTAGTGGTGCCGACACAGCTCGCAGTATGACGTGGCAGCTTGGAGCAGCCACCGCTCTAAACACGAGCGGTGAACGGCAGCGATGGTACCTCGGCAGGAACACGGCCGCACCAGCCGTTCTGCAGACTCACCGCCGAAGCAAATCCGGCAAATGTTGTCTGAGTGAATGCTAGCGCTAAAACTTAACACCTCTTTCGGAGCGACACCTCTTGACGAGCCCTGAGTGGAAGAGAAATGGATATAACAATAGATTTGTATTTTCGAATAAACTGAGGGTTTGAATAAACTTGACTTGCCCTGTGGGCGGAGGCAGGGGAACTGGGAAGAGTTCCCCCACGCGTTAAGTAGAACTCGTTTGCGGGAAACCGCCGCTGGGGTCACGGTGGATTGCGAACTCGATCCCGCGACCCCGGCACTGGCGGCGAGGAGGAATGCCGTGGCGTTTTTGGTGAGTAGGAATCTCACAGTACCCGTCCGTCCAACCCCTAAGACGGCCGGGTCTCCATAAAGGAATTCCCCCACGTAAAAAAAAGTAAGCCCAAAATGACAAATTCATTGAGAATTTTTCGAGATGTTTTCCAGGGGTAACCCTGTGAAGGTCAACCTGGCCTGGTACAATAGTCCATATTATTAACAATCCCTATCACAGCGTTACATGATGACGTAAGTTATATGGTGCTGTTCTGATTGTTATATATCTTATATATAAAATTCTCGTGTCACAGTTTTCGTTCCCATACTCCTCCGAAACAGCTTGACCGATTCTCATGAAATTTTGTGAGCGTATTGAGTAGGTCTGAGAATAGGCCAACATCTATTTTTCATCCCCCTAAATGTTAGGGGTAGTCCACCCCTACATTTTTTTTTTATTTTAAGGTAACACAACGTTTGCCCTGACAGCTAGTGCCACTGTAAGCGAACTGACTTAATGCTAACATTATACACACGAAAGTGTGTGTGTTGATGTTTAGATGGATGGATGGATGGATGTTTGTTACTCTTTCACGCAAAAACTACTGGACGCATTTTAATGAAACTTTACAATAATATAGTTTATACATCAGATTAACGACATAGGCTATAAAATTTATGCGGTAAAAACCGCGGGTAGAGCTAGTACGTAATATAAATATATATTACACTAGCTGACCCCCGCGACTTCGACCGCGTGGAATTTAACATTATTGTTCTAAAATAAAAGTAGCCTAAGTTACTCCTGATTACATCAGCTACCTGCCAAAAAAAGGTCCTGTTAAAATCGGTCCAGCCATTTCAGAGATTAGCCGGAACAAACAAACCGACAGACAGACAGACAGACAGACAGACAAAAATGATAAAAAATGTTATTTTGGTATATGTACCGTATATATTCATATGCGTGTAGTAAAAAACGGTTATTTCAATATTACAAACAGACACTCCAATTTTATTCGTCTAGTACTCATAACACAAGTTCTACTTATGGTGACACTAGATGGCGCTGTGTTAATTGTCCAATTATATTTAAAATGAAAGAAACCCACTTGTTTGTTGAGCAGCAGTGCGCATACAGAGCCTAATATGGACATGGAGCGACCTGCGGGCTGCAGCAGCGAGGACGCCGGCGATGAGAACGTCAAGGAGTCAGCTATACGGGCACGCAGCATACGCTGCTCCTCAGACTCTGGTGTGCTCACTGATAACAAATTGTGACTTACTATTTTTTGATTATATTTACTGAGCAAAGCCTATTACTCACTAAACGATTACTTGAATCACAGTTGTTCATGCACGGGATTTTCATTTAATGTTAGACATAGACACCTATATAAATACCTATACTTCACTTCACTTCACTTCACTTCACTTCACTTCACTTCACTTCACTTCACTTCACTTCACTTCACTTCACTTCACTTCACTTCACTTCACTTCACTTCACTTCACTTCACTTCACTTCACTTCACTTCACTTCACTTCACTTCACTTCACTTCACTTCACTTCACTTCACTTCACTTCACTTCACTTCACTTCACTTCACTTCACTTCACTGCACTTCACTTCACTTCACTTCACTTCGCTTCGCTTCGCTTCGCTTCACTTCACTTCACTTCACTTCGCTTCGCTTCGCTTCGCTTCGCTTCGCTTCGCTTCACTTCACTTCACTTCACTTCACTTCACTTCACTTCACTTCACTTCACTTCACTTCACTTCACTTCACTTCACTTCACTTCACTTCACTTCACTTCACTTCACTTCACTTCACTTCACTTCACTTCACTTCACTTCACTTCACTTCACTTCACTTTACTAAATCAGTCGTAGTGATAAGAGCAGACCAGTCAAGCCATAAGTCAATGACTGGACTGGTGGAGCCCATTGCTAGCAATGTAACATGTCAGGTTGACCTCCACGCGGTTCCCCCTGGAAACCATCGGGATAAATTCCTGGTGAATATGTCACGATGGGCTAACCTGACACCTGACTGGTGCCACGCCAGCGTATACCGATAGCGCAGGCGGGAGCACCATTCCATTATCATCCTAAAAGGAATCCTCCTATCTATGGTAGGTAAAACTATAAAAACCCTCACAAAATATCACGTGTATTACGCACCAGGTGAGGACGGCAGCGACCTGCAGCTAATATCAGTCTGCTGGCCGATGGTACGCAATTCCTTCTCCCGCTGGGTATTCCCACTTGGCTGCATCAAACAACATAATACTATACACTGACGTACACAAACCAGAGGGAGACTTCGAACAAAGATTGAACTGGAGTTTTATTTTATTTATATATTTTTTTTATTTAATTTTTCGGAAAATTAAGGCTATACAAAGATAGTTATAAACATAATTAAATGTGAACGGCCACTTATAGGTTTTCACGGATAGAAACGTAATATAAAATAAATTACAGTACTAACACGAGAGGCGTGTTTGTGTCATAAATACTCATAAAATCATATATCAAACAATAACAATCTACTAAATTAAAACATATGCTGAAATTAACAAACAAACATTTTTAAATAATAGTAATGCATATAAGTAACATTAAATTCGATACTTAAAACTCAAAGAATTGCCTGCTCATCACGGCCCTCGCTAAAGATATTCTATCGGAAAACAAATCAATATCTACTACCCTGCTTAATCTATTGAATATATAACTGTTTTGGCTATAGTTAGATGACAGTTTTGACATAGATTTGTTTCAAGTGTATACGAGACGAATGTACATTAAATAGAATGGAATAAAATTAAAGAGTACAGAAGTCATGACTTTGTAATTCTTTGTAACATCTCTCATTTCTAACTTCGGTCGATCTCCATTCCTATTCATAATTGATCGAAATTACGACTGCTTGAACTGAGGATTGAACTCCTAGCTGTGCCCTCGTACTAAAGTCATATGCGTTAGGCAGAAGTTGGCATTCAACCGCTCCAAAGTCCCTTCGCGGGTTTGGAGTGCCATCTGCACTCGCCCTCTATCGTTCAATGAAGCTTTAAAGGCCAACTGCAGCATTAAATAATTCGAAAAATACTATTTAATAATAATAATAATAATCTCAGGACAATTCACACAGCGCCATCTAGACCCAAGTTAAGCTAGCTAAATCTTGTGTTATGGGCACTAAATAACTGATACAAATACATAGATAATTTTTTTTCGTAAATACATACATAATATAAATAGAAAACATTCAGACCGATACAAACAATCATACTCATGAATACAAATGTTTATGCCGTGCGAGAAATCGAACCCGCGACCATCGGACGTAAAACGGTGTGCTAGACCGCTAGACCACCGAGGTCGTCTATTTACATATTCTATACTTAAAAATGTTTTATAAAAGCCATTAATATAAATCAGTCCTTCACGATTCAAATTACTCCTTGTAATTGAACGCCTTACCAAACTCTGATGGCAAATTCATCAGCCTGCGTGATTAGTCTTGTATTACAAACGCAAAAGATTGTGAGTGTGGATGTAATTAGATAGATAAAATTTTTATTCACGTTTAAGGCACACACACAAAACACTGTATAATTCAAATTCAAATTCAAAATATCTTTATTCATGTAGGTCTATTACAGACTCTTATGATATGTCAAATCTACCGTCAGTTCGGAATGATATCGAGATGAGAAGAACTGACAAGAAACTCAACTATTTTTTTTTTTTTAATAAAAACAGATATACAATTACATCAGTAAAGTCAAACAAAATACAATACACAACACATATACAGATAAAATAAAATGCAATACAGATAACAAAAAACGGTATGAGTAACGTAGTGTGTGCATAGCCCATACGCAAAAAGGCAGCACCTCAGTGTATTGTTTGCTGCATACAAGCAGCAAACCACTGATATTCAGGCACTGCCCAGAGACATACGCGAGGACGCATGTAACAAGACCACAGCTTCTAATCAGCCCTATTACATTATAATAAATAGTAATAATTATAAAAAAAATATTATTTAATTACGGTTGGTGGTTATTCTTTTACGCAAAATCTGAATGGATTTTAATGAAACTTTACAATAGTATAGCTTATATATCAGACTAACGTATAGACTATAAAGGTCACGAAGGTGAAACCGCAAGCGCACCTAGTGAATCATAAACATGAATGAATTACATTTATTTATGTATAAGTATAGATACTCATATAATTTTACCGGCATATGTATGGATGAACAACTTGATGACGTCATATTTATAGTGAGCCTACTATCTGATCGTTCGCAGCCCCAGAACATCAGCAGTGTTTCGCTTTCGCAAGCATTACATTCCTGTACCAAAGAAACAAATTTAATTAAATCTGGACATATCTCCCAGTGGGTCCCACAGGAGGGCAAATTGTTATTCGAAAATAGACTCTTTATTAAAATTATATAGAATGTGAATTTCAATTAACCTTACCGATTTGAAAATTATACTTACTGTTTCATTAACAATTTCCTAGAGTTTTCTTCCTAAAACCTACTGTTTAAGTTTATTAAGTGAAGAACAATCCAATTTTTGTTGTTATAGGTAAATTACGAATGTTATGGGGAATTTTAGAAAGGTTAAGGTGGCACTAAATAGGTTGGGAAACATACAGGTTGTATTAGACAATCAATAGAAATACTTAAATATATGTTTTCTCAAATCGTTCTTAATAAAGAGTAGAATAAGCATTCTGCAATAAGCTTGCTTTGTTATCTGAGTTACAGCTAGAAGGAAGCCAAAACAGCTTAGTCCTCAGATATAGTAACTTACTTAATAGCATGATCGTTACCTAATTACGAATACCATATTCCATCAGGTGGGCCCCCAGTTTGAGAACCATTGTAATTACATAAATTAAATATTCTGAGAACACACCCATACCTATAGCACCTATGTATACACGTGAATAAATTTGTATTTCGCTAGAAAAAGATGTAGAATTCAATTACCCGTAGTATATTGGTGTAGCTACAAGTTCTATGAAATCTGAAATTAATGCTCTCTAACGCTTGTGGTATATGGGGCCTGTAGATCGCGGGGGCAAGTACTGCCTGCCTCAAGTTTTGTATGGCATCACTGGGAAACTGCTCAATATCAGTGAAGTCTATCAGACGCTGAATTAGCGTTACAAATTTTCGCATTTTTCATTTTGTTTTCATGTACAAATTATGATATTTTTATATTTGTAATACATTTTGTAAATTTTTATTTGTACGACATTTTAGTTGACGTTAAATTTTTATGTCAATTTATGACATAAAAATTTACAATCTATATGCATAAATTGTATAATCTATACTTTAACGAATTTATTTGTTTTTTAATAAACTGTCAATATACAGTTTAATTATATCTTCCCATTTCAACGCAATAAAATATAAGAGACGCGAACGCATCCTAACAACACGCCAGATACATTTTTTTAGTTTTATTTATCCTTATTGGAAAGATAAAGAGCACGCCAACGAGAAAGAGACAAACATAAAGAAACATGACAGTGACATTAAAAGATTTTTAGTGCTGTCTGTATTTAATGTCGATATAAAATCATGTATCGATGAATATGCAAATTTACGAAGTATAATTGCTCTTTAGCCCAAACCGTATATTAAATGATGCTGATTTTCATTTATGTTGAGTAACATATGTATTAGAAATCTCACTCAATATTTTGCTTATATTTAATAGATTGTTTGCGATAGGGTGTTGCCCGATACATAATACATGATATATTTGCCCATGACTATTTGACGAAATCTGTCATTTGATCGCTGAACCAACATTCATTGATATACCTAAGAGTTTGGTTATCTATCAATTGGTTATTATTGTGAAATAGTTGGAAATTAAATAAAGGTTTGAATTTTTAATAAAATCATGGCGGTTCGCGTACAATTCGAGAATAATAATGAAGTAGGGGTGTTTAGTAAATTGACGAACGCGTACTGCCTAGTTGCTATCGGTGGGTCTGAGAACTTCTACAGCGTGTTCGAGGCGGAGCTGGCGGAGACGATTCCTGTAGTGCATGTGAGCATCGCCGGGTGCCGCATCATCGGCCGCATGACCGTCGCTAACAAAAACGGCCTACTGGTACCTTCGTCCACAACAGACACAGAACTGCAACACATTAGAAACAGTTTGCCGGACAACGTCAAAGTGCAGCGCGTAGAGGAGCGTTTGAGTGCGCTGGGTAACGTCATCACATGTAACGACTACATAGCTCTTGTGCATCCTGATTTGGATCGGGACACTGAAGAAATTCTAGCCGACACATTGAATGTGGAAGTGTTCAGGCAGACAGTCGCGGGAAACACTCTAGTTGGCACGTACGCGGCACTCAGCAATCGCGGCGGCTTGGTGCATCCCAAAACGAGCATACAGGATCAGGATGAGCTGTCGTCGCTGTTACAAGTACCGTTAGTGGCGGGCACAGTGAACAGAGGCAGTGACGTCATTGGCGCAGGACTGGTGGTGAATGACTGGTGTGCTTTTTGTGGAATGGACACTACATCGACAGAAATTTCAGTTATAGAGAGTGTATTCAAATTAAACGATGCTAAACCCACAGCGATCACATCCACAATGCGTGCATCACTCATTGACAGCATGTCATAACGTTGGTTCGGCCAAATTTGTACCTAAATGTGATATAATAAAGATGTCGTTTAATTGCACCTTGTACTTTTAAATTGTTAATATGTAAGTGCGTCTGTTGGACAGACTGCATAATGACAACCAATGAGTCTTTGATCTAATGTTTTATTATAAATATAGATTAAAACCATTACCATGTATTTTAATTATCACTAGTAAATTGTCAGCCTTGCTTGTGAAGATTTAGTTATATACAACTGTCTCTTGTGAAGGGACAGACTTCCAGACTTCCAAGGAAAATAATGTTGATATAATATTACAAAGTATAGAAATTTCTCAAACCTCTATCATTATATGCAATACAGATGTGTATAAGCTTAGACATCAACAGCACTTGGTACTCACTGCATACCCCTTAAAGAAACTGGCATGAATATACCATCGGTTAAATAGAAAAATGGCAGTATTCAAAATGTACATTTTTGTCTTGTCTTGTATTGCATTTAAAGTTTTTAAATTTATTTTAATTAGTTTTTACATTCAAAGTTTTAAATTTACACTATATCATTTTAAAAGTATCTAGATAATGATTAAGACGGCGTGGTTAATTTAATTGACTTATTAAAAGGAGGCAATTCTAGCTTCTAATTTTGATAAATGTCATTTTTCTATTTAATCAACGATATACAAATATATCATTTTCAGTACATCCACAGTCATACCCAAAAAGTATTCCTGAAGAATCCTGAAGAAGAAACCTTTTGATTGAATCAAATCAGGTTCAAGAGCATCAAGAAGAACCTATTTACTTGATATTGAGTGTGTATTTCAGATGCATGAAGATACTACTGAATGTGATGGAATGTTATGTGTCGCAAAGGTTTGGTGCAAATATGTTTAAGTCTCCATTGACTCAGAATAAGATTGTTTATACACCATTTTGTGTTTATCTCCATAAATGTAAAACAGATATTCAGTCAATTTTTCTTTTTTAATGCACATAATTCTACAATAGAGAAATTACCAAATGTTTAATATTACATATACAATATACTTTATTAATTTATTTTACATTAACTTTATTTATATTCTGTAATATTTACACATTTTAGATTACAGTTTATTTTTTTTGTATTCAATAATGCAGATTTTTTATAACACAGAAATTAAACTGAAATCTGAATATCTACTCTTGCATAAGAGGTCTGCAATCTGAAAAATCATACTTGTGGTCAAATAATACCTTAAAATGTAGGTAACTGTAAGGGTAACACGAAATAAATAGAAACAATTATCTTACTTAATAATACTTTATTTATAATAATTATAAACACATTTGTTATAACACAAACAATCTATCTACAATTGCCACATGCGTTGCTCTGGAAGTACGTACTTTTGCCATTCAACCATGGATCAGAGAGACTATGTCCACATCCAACCTATATTAATTCTCAAAGCAATATATTCATTATAATTACACAACATATACCTAATGACTAATAAGAAATCGTTGCAATTAGTAAAACAAATAAACATTGTGTACAATTATCTTTACTAATGAAGAAGTTTAAACGTAGACTAGGCTGTACGGTTTGAGGATCTTTGCTTGTTCCATCATTGAAAAGGAGACGGACGAATATGGGAAAAAAATCTCTTTACTACGAGGGACCTTAGAAGAGTCCTTTGCATAAAAAATTAATTACTTAATCTAGTTTTAAAAAATGCTGGTAAGATATTAATATAATCTGTCGCTACTCGGTGCATATTTTTGTATGTAACATGCAAATAAGTCGACGGTAAATGGTAATTCGACCACATTATGTGAAGGCAAAAACAAAACTCATGCGTTATCGTCCTGGTGCACAGAGTAATTTTACTACTTTATAAAATCTTGACAGATGAATAGGTGAAACAGAGATGCCAATGCAGATTACTTTATACAAAGTCTATCTCGGAATATCGTACCCCAGCCTAAAAGAAATTGATTGTATAACTAAATTTTAAAGGCTTCATCCCCATCCTTCGTTCTTGCGATGAGTCTGCTTTCCAAATGAGTGGTAGATTCAACAAATATATAATTTCAAAACTGCTTATATTAAGTTTATTTGAATAAATATTATTTCTATTAATAAGCTGACCAATATTCAGATATATAAAACAATTTGTTTACACACTTTTTTATAATAATTAAAACAGCATTAATGCAGTGTCTGACTTAAAATATTTTTACATGAATTGTGTACAAGCTCTGAAACATAATAGTATCTTAAAATAACGTCAACTGAAGCCTGTATGGTCATCACAGCAACTAGTCCACGGAATAGTAAAACTTGTTAAAAAAATTGCGCAACCTACTTTTAAACAATGTAATACAGTAAACAGTGACGGTTTTAGGGGGTGGCGAACGGGGCGCCCGTGGCCTCGCACTTCCAGGGCCCTCGCGTAACAACCAAAGCAAATTCCAAACAACCAGTGAATAACATTATGCCTAATGACAAGTTGCGAAAACTTCCTCATTAGGTATTTAATCGCCAATTAATAAATTACCAACACTAAAATATACAATTAAAAGAATATAAAATACGGCATAATCATTTTGAATCAGCGGAAAATTTTCGCATCATTTTTCACAAAGGGGCTCGTAAAGCACAGGGCCTTGCAATGGGTAAGGCTGCTGACTGTGAACATAGTTATTCTTTGCTCCGTAGCTGTACCCAAGTCCCCAACAAGCCCATCCTTTACTACATTATGACATAATGATTCATATGTAGAATGATTTTTATCATATCAGTGAGTACTCGTAATTACTATTACCTAATCGACACAATTGTTAGTTGCATAAAATAATGAAATAAATTGATTTAGTATATCCTTGTAGTACTGAATAAAATACACATTGATAACGTAAGTGAATACTTAAAACACTAGTTGACCCGCGCAACTTCGTCTGCGTTTCATTTCCTCACCTTTTGCAATATTTTTCATTGCAGCTCCGCTCCTATTGGTCGTAGCGTAATGTTATATAGATTATAGCCTTCCTCGACGAATGGACTATCCAATACAAAAAGAATTATTCAATTCGAACCAGTAGTTCCCGAGATTAGCGGGTTCAAACAAACAAACAAACTCTTCAGGTTTATAATATTAATATAGATTAAATCTTGTCCCTGAATGGGCTGAACCGAGGTTAAAACCTTAAGGTTAAAAGCCTCGGATTAAATTCGTATTGTCGGACAGGATTTGGACCCCAGACGCTCGACAAGACCACGGGTTTTAAAGCCCTCAACATTTCACCCCACTTTCATCCGACATATAACCTATAAAAGCCAGCTGCTGCAAGAAACTAGAAGCCCCCTCCGATCGATCCCCCGTCCAATTCAAACGGGGATCGATAATACGTCGGCCCGAGGTTCGAAGCCTTAGCGGTGCCCTCAGACTAAAGTCGTATCCGTCAGGCGGGAGTTGGCCTTCAGCCGCTCCATAAGTCCTTCCGCTGATTTGGAGTGCCATCTGCACACGCCCCGGTTTTGTCCGGTGAACCAGTAGAGGCCAGCCGCGGCCAACAGCATTAGAGTAGTTCGAGAAAAAAAGAAACTATAGGTGGCTGACATAGTGATCTATGGACGCACAGCCCAAACCACTGGACGGATCGGGCTGAAATTTGGCATGCAGGTAGATGATATGACATAGGCATCCGCTAAGAAAGGATTTTGATTAATTCTACCCCCAAGGGGATAAAATAGGAGATGAAAGTTTGTATGAAATTTTGTCAGTTTTAAACCGATCGGGCTGAGACTTTGCATGCATAAAGCTACTATGACGTAGGCATCCCCGAAGAAAGGATTTTGATTAAATCTACCCCCAAGGGAAAAATTAACGCGAGCGAAGCCGCGGGCAAAAGCTAGTCGTATATATATAACTACTGTATTTTTACTGTTCACACAAAATTGATCGAGATATCGTGGACGTTGATTATTATTTTTAATTATATCATATGGTCCTATCCTATAAGTGTGCGTTTTCATAATACAACATACATATATGGTGATGGAAACACCGATAACAAATCTAATTCATGCGTGAGACGTCAGTTAGTTTTTAGAAAGACTTAGTTTGCTATTATAGTACGTTTGACATACAAATTTGACAGTTAAATTACATACAAGTGTGTCCAGGGGCGGACTAAGGTCTAGGCACTCTATACGTGCCTAAGTTCTGTAGTTTTTAAAACTACCAACCGCATAGTTATTATTATGACTGAAAAATAGGCCTGGAATGTTGCCTAGGGCCCGCTTTAGCCTTAGTCCGCCACTGAGTTTGTCTTATCTATTTATATAAATATCGGACTCTTAAAATGAAGAGCCAGCATATGGCACATACATTCATTGACCTTAAAAATCTACAATACAGTTTTCGCAATTTTTATGCTTAAGATATGTACTTCTAGAAATGGGATAAGAAAATATTTACTGTATTAAAATAGTGCAATTATTACACATTTCGTCAGTTAAATAGAAAAATGACATTATTCGAAAAGTACATTTTTTACAAGACAAGCTCGTATCATAATCGTAATGATTTAAAGTTTTTAAATGTATTTAAATTATTATAAAAGTTTTAAATTTACACACAAGTATTATATATCATTAAAAAGTATTTCGATAATGATTAAGACGGCGTGGTTAATTTAATTGACTTATATAAAAAGCGGCAATTCTAGTTTCTAATTTTGGAAATGTGATTTTTCTATTTAATCGACGATTTGTATTAATAGTATATTACGATATAAGTGCGTTATAGGTTATAACACACGAGGCCGAATTTCAGCCGAAAGCGAGAGCGTAATAGAGTCCAGTGTGTTATACAGTAACGTACGACGTTTTTCAACACTTAAAATGAAGTCATTTTAAATAAACTCTAGAGCCGAGTGTGTTATATCGTACGACGTTTTTCAACACACTTGATTTTAAACTCAACTTATAAAACTGTGATTACACACTGTTTCCTTCCCGCTGTTTTACTTTTTTAAATCAGAGCGCTGCCTATTGGCTATGGCCGCGCGGTAGTGACTTCGAAAATTGTTAAATAAATAGCAAATAGTGCTCTGTTATGGAATATAACATCACTATTTGCGTTTATAAAACCCATGCGTGTTTTATGAGCTACTTTATTATATC